CCAGGTGGGGATACAAAAATGCGGAAGTATCTGTAGTTATCGCGAAAGCCCTGGGCCTGTCAAAATAAATGGGAATTTCTCAGTCCAGGAAACACAGAGAAAGAGTAAACATTGTTCATTTACATACTGACATTGGAACAGTACAAAGCGGGGTTGAAAATCGGCTTACACTGACCTTCATTTGTCCCAGTGGTCTTGAGTTTCATAGTGACACCTGCTGGCATGGAGGTTTTTGTTTTTTAATCAATGCCACATCAGAGGACTGATTCCTTTTCATTGATTAATTTATATGAATCATGCAGTTTAAAAATGGACATTCCCGGACTTAATAAAAAACCAGGCTTTGTGTGTTACTGGTGCAGGGAGGCTGTGTGCTGCATTCCACTAGTCTGCTGTGGACGGTGCAGCTGTTTCCTGGATGGAGGGATTTTGTGCTGTGGTGGCTGTGGCCGTCATGTTCGTTTCATCACTCCATAGGCACTGCCTGCTTGGACATTTCAGTTTTCCATTCAAAATCATTCTGTTTGGACTGATGGATCGCACACATGCCGAACCATACCATCACTCTGGACTGATTTGGACTCCGAAAGTCAGAAAAATGGCTGCTTTAAAGACAACATGAAATCAAAGTATGATATTTACTTCCATTCCAAATAAATTTCTGGTCTCATTCTGCACAAATCATCAAATTATTCACCTTTCTTCACCTCCTTCACCAAACGACTTGTTTTCTGTTCAGACAGCAACATAGTGTCGGCCCAGATCTGGGCAACATCTGGTACATGTGGATTCAACGCATCCCAGATGTGGACCGGATCTGGGGCGACACTATGTTGCTGTCTGGGTTGACAGAACCAGACCTACATGTGCAAGGAAAATAGTATATTTAGTGAGAAGCATATAGGACGAGACTTGATTTTATCCAATGGGAATTTTGTCCATTATAAAAAATACATTTCTTAAATTTTTTTAAATGTCTCTTCTGCTCACCAAGGCTGCATTTGTTTAATTAAAAATACAGTAAAAAATGAAATATTGTTAAATTTTATTAGAATTTAAAACAACCATTTTATTTTTGAATATATTTTAAGATATCATTTATTCCTGATGTCAAAGCTGATTTTTTAGCATAATTACTCCAGTCTTCAGTGTCACATGATCCTTCAGAAATAATTATAATATTCTGATTTGACGCTCAACAAACCTTTCTTGTTATCAATGTTGAAAACAGTAATTCAGATCAGGATATTCAGTGAAAAACATGTAGGACGGGAATTTATCCACTGGAAATTGATTGGACCATGAAAGATGGCCTCTATATAACAGGTAGTTGGAGAGAAAGGGGGAGGGGCTAAAAATGAGAGACTAATGGTGCGTTCTATTATGTATCCGTGTTGGAGTTCCGACTAGGAAGACAGACGTTGCCTAGCAACACGCACCACGCGCCCCCTTTCCTTGGATTTCCCAGCTCGGAAGTCGGACAACCTTGAGGACACCAAGATGGCTGCGCCCTGTGTGACTTGTAAGTATGAATTGTTTTCGATTTGAATCACTCGTATTACTGCAATACCTTACTGCGTCCGTGTCACTGCCTGTAGGTATTGGAATCGGTCTTGTTGTGAGTGCAATATTGAATGAACGGGTGTTACTAACGTGGCTAGCGTTGCTAACAGAAGATAAACTAAAACATGAAATAAAGTGAACATTTTAGAAGTTCAAACGGCTGCATTTGATAAGCGCCTGGTACTCAGCCAATGCTACCATAGCAACAGCCTTCCGGGTGGCGTCCATGTTTTTTCTCCGACTCGGACACGCAAAACATACCAGAACGCTTGAAGTGTAGAAGTGACGTCATATCCGAGGGCCGAGTCGGTTTGTTGACAATAACAGAACGCACCAAAAGCATTTTGATTAATGTTTATGAAGACACTTTAAAAAAAAAAAAACATATTTAAATATTTTTTTAATAATGTGGATATTCTAGATTTAATGCATACTTTAAATGCTTTGTGAATGCCATGTCATGTTGTCTTTCAAATATCAGGGAGTTTTATTTCCAGGGATAATCTGTCTCTGCTTATCGCTGTTGATTCCGGGCTGCAGGATTATGGGGCAGAGTGAAGGCCGTTGGAGAGTCATAGTGGTAAGACAAGTTGAGCGAAGTGTATTATGTAAAACAGCAGGGCCATACATTATGGAACATGTCTACACGTCAGGTATAAAATATGTTCCCTGGTAACAACATTGTGAAACAAAACAGCCCCAAAACCACAGTCACATTCCTTCCCACTCGAGCGCCCCACACCCAGAGCCCCCAACACCTCCCTGCGCCACACCAGCAGCCAACCACAGAGCTCCGCCCCCTTACTCGCCCCTCATACCGCACCTCCACTCATGCCTTTACTGCTACTCGCTCCCTCTCTCTTTCTCTCTCTCTCAATTGCTTTATCTCTCCCTCGCTCGCTCTGATCTTGGCTGCCTTTTATTCTGCTCACCGCGTCTGGAAGTAGGTACACTGGAGAAGAAAAAAGAGAAGGAAAAGCAAAGCCTCCTCCTCTGCCTCTATTACTTCTATCTGACCAGGAACCACCATGACCCCAGAAACAGCCAATGCGCTCCACTGCACTCGAAGAGAGAGAGAGAGAGAGAGAGGGAGGGAAATGAGGCGCAGGGAGAGAGAGAGCTGGAGAGATTGGATGATTAATGTTAAACTAGTTTCCTCTAAGAGCTGCTCTTGTGTGTGTCATGACAGCAATGTTTCAATATTTTAGCACTCTAACCTCTTGAGTTCAAGGCTTAAACTTTTGCCTGATGAAGCAATAGGGATGAGAGGTCAGGATGGGGGAGAATGTTCAAAGGCCGGTGTTTCTAATTCTGCTTTTGTATCACCCTTGCATTGCTTATGTATTTATTGTCTTTGTATTATTTTGCAGTCCTCAAGTGGTCAAAGTTTGATTTGTTAGCATTAGCAGTTAGCCACTGCTGGTTGAAGAGCAGGGGTTCTCAACTTCTCAACCTGTAACTTTCTAGTAATCGTGAAGACCTTGATTAGCTTGTTCAGGTGTGTTTGATTAGAGTTGGAGCTAAACTCCCCTTACAAAAAATAAGTATACTTCAAATTCATGTTATTAATTATTCAAGTATATTTTTTAGTATACTTCATGTAGTAAGTATACTAATATCAATGTACTAGAAGTATACTTGTAAATGTACTGTTTCACTACTTGGGACTAAATTGGCCCACTTTTTAGTGTATAAAAATACTTTTAAGTATACTTTAAGTGTAACAGTAGTAAACTTTGAGTTTACACAACTAGTTTAGAGGTCACTCTTCCGCCGGAACTAGATTTGCGTACGGCAGTTACCGGAAGCCAGTGATTATAGTTTATAAAGTTATAAATATGGATATTTTTCTTACAAAAATGTATCACTTCGTTTTAAAAGGCCTTTATCAAGCTGTATGGATTACTTTTATGATGGATGGATGCACTATTCACTCCCATTATAAAGTTTGGAAGAGCCAGAATATTTTTTATTATAACTCCGATTGTGTTTGGCTGAAAGAAGAAAGTCATATACAGTACACTTAGGATGGCTTAAGGATGAGTAAATTATGGGATAATTTAAATTTTTGGGGGTGAACTAACCCTTTAAAGATGCAACTACAGACCTTTTTCAGAGCAGCACCATGACAGGCATGAAAGCGAGGCTGTGAGGGATAGACTTACCATTTTTCAATGGCTTCCGCTGTCTACTGTCATTTCTTGTAAATATATTTTTGCAGTGTTTCATCAGCAGAACAATCCAAAAACACATTAAATAACAGTGCAACCCGCTGGAGATATATGTCTATCCCTCACAGCCTCGATTTCATTCTCATTCAAAATTAAAGACTGCTGTGAATAAGGTCTGTGACAAAGTAGTTTGTCCCAAAGTTTGCCTACTATGCTGCTACACACTCAAAAGTATGTACTTTTATCTTCACAAAAACAGTACATACTTTTAGGACATTGTATAAGTAGGCGAATTGGAACTCAGCATAAAATTCAATAAATTAACATTTACTGGGTCTTTATGCTTGCCATGCAACATAGAAATAGTGATGATGTGCAGTCTCAGGTGTGTTTATCAGCTATTTTACAGCAGCTTTACTCACAGTGGTTGTGTATAAGTGTGTGTGGGAGGATGTGCAGTTGGTTCTGCCAATATATAGGAGGGCTAAATGAGATTTAAAAAGAAAAAGATTGAACATTCATTTTATTGGTTTGGTTTATTAATACAGTGGTTATTTCAGCCAAACAGGCTCTTCACAGAGGAAACCAACAAATGAAATGAAACTAGATAAGTAGAATATAGCTTTCTGACAATCTGTGGCTCAGTCACTAGTCTCTTTAACAATTAGCAATAATAACTGTGTACCTGATCAACACGAACGATAAGAACATATATAAACAAGTAAAACAAGAACTTACAAAAGTGATGCTAATACTTCAGAAAATCTGGATCGTTTATAAAATGATTTATATACATTCATTCTGAATAATTATAATTTGGGGGACACACAAAGACGCAAACAAATGGCACTGACCGCAGGGAAGAAAGAACACTGATTTAAGAAGACAAAATATAAAATATTATCTGCAGTAATTAGACGATTCCATAGTGTAATTCAAGTGCTATGAGTAGTAAAGGGTACACAGGTATAGACCCCCGGTCCGCTGAGCGTTTGGGCACAATTCAAGCCCTCATTATGCGGAGGGGGGTGAGGAGGTTGTCAGCTCAAACCTCCTTTCAGTCTCACTCATGCAGTGAAAGTGGTTAGTACAAACATGGAGTTTAGCCCACCTTAATACAACATAAGCTTAATAGCATTAGCATAAAATCTGTGCTTTTATAAAACAGAGGGTGTCTACAACCCAGGCAGCGACATAGTGTCGGCCCAGATCCGGCCCACATCCGGTTCACGTACGTTGATCCCACACGGCCCAGACGTGGGCCCGATCTAGGTCGACACTATGTTGTTGTCTGAGAATCGCCACCGCTATGATTGTGCAACAGCGCACCAGAACAGTGGTCTAGCCAGGTACAATAGCAAACATAAAGGGTGTGGTCTGAGGCCCAAGGGTTGCTGTGATTGGTCCATTTTTGTCCAACATTCAACATGTGCTCGAAAAGCTTTACATGTTGAGAGTTACATATGGGTTATTATCTTTAATCACTGTGTGAATCTCTGACCCTGGACTACAGGTGACAAATTACAATACAACAATTATTAGCAGCTTCAACTAGAACATATTTCAAAAATATAAAGGATAAACTTTTTCTTATATAAAAATATCATTTATCTATGGAGGGTTGATACCATGCGGACGGGTTTGTTGAAGGGTTAGACATGTATGCATAACTGTTCTTCTCTCAGGATGGGCAGGAAATGGTTCTCTGTGAGGATTTGAACACGTTCCAAAGTTCTTTGTCCCATTCCCGTTATTCGCTCCATCACTCCCGCTTTCACTATCAATCTCTCTCGGGTGTCTCTATGTGCAGGTCTGTTAGCAAACGGTTTGCTGGCTGGACAGGGGACTTTCCAGAGACAAGCTTGCGGGAGACATGTCTGGACGAGACTTCTTAAACATGGATGAGATATAAAAGGCCTGAAACCACACAAAGAAAACGTCAAACAAAAAGTACCTTACACTTCCAGATTCATAGTAACGCTTGTCTAGAATGTGTTGCGACGTGATTCTTACCACCCAGTAAGCAGTCAGTCCCCCCTGCAGGAAGCCGGTCAGGACGTCAGTGGGGTGATGGCGGTAGTCAGAAATGCGACTGAGTCCCGTGTACACTGCCAACATCACCAACATGAACTGCAGCAACGGTCGCAGGAGTCGCGCCCCTCGCCATGACAGCCGCGCCTGCAGGTAGAACTGCGCAAAGACAGGAAGTTTCAAGAATGATTAACATAAGGGCTGATAAAAGTGTACAGACTGATAAATAAAGCTTACAGAGTGTGTTTGTGTGTGTGTGTGTTTGACCTTGCTAAACTTTTGATGACACATTTCCTGAAAGATTTCAAGGAAGTTAGCTAAATCTGATAAACTACCCTCAAAAGCCAAAGTTTAGTTTTAAAAAGCAAATTGTTATATTTTAGGTGAAGTTTTAGTCTGTAGTTATTATAAATAGCTTAACGTCAGCATGAATTTACCCCATCTATTTTCTAAATGCATGTTATTGATCTTATATTGTAAAACATTTATAAACTTTTTGTTCGAATTTTTAATCAAAATTTCATCTTTTGTTGAAGTGACAGACTTCTCTCTGTTGATGTGTCCTGGACTTCTTTAATCATTTTGTAAGCATAAACTCTGTCCTTATAATCAACTGCAAGGTTGCATTAAGATCTGCCTCCATCCAATCAGCAACTGTTGGACTGAACTAAGACTTTCCCTACATTTCTTTATTTTTGATTATCCACTTCACTCGGATGTACGTCACAATACAGAAGAGAAGATCTGTTTCTGCTTCCGTTTCATCACGACTTTAGCTTTCAAAAGAAACACTATGTCAATGAGAAACACTAATTTATAGGCCTTCCACTTAGTAGTTACGTAGTTTCTGTATCTCCACCCTAGTAGTGGATGATAATATTAAAAAGGTTCCATTGTTTCACTTTAATTCACAAATCCTCTCCCATGTCCTCATGGGATAGTAAAGTGTTCATCGGATACGCACTTCAGAATCTCGCCAAAAGTAGTAGGTCATTCGGGTACTTTTCGCTTATTGTTTTATGAATACTACAAATTTGGACATACTACTTGGGTCACACACTGTTTTTCAACTACTATGGAAGTAGGCATATTCGGATGCAGGGTTAGTCTTCACGTCTGTGCTATATTAGACAGAGTGTCCCAAATTGGTCACTTACGAGGCTGCATTTCAGTTAGAAGTAAACGCTAGCTTTTTGTGAAGAAATAAAATCACGTTAACATGTGCTCATCGTACCACCCTGACAACCAAGCTATAACGAAAGCCGGGGAGAAATATTGGGGTCAGCAGGGATAGGAGAAGTATTGGCTGTAGATGAACTTTATGGATATTGATGTCACACATGGGACCGCGAAACATTCCAGACTTTAAGGGTCCTTGTGCGCCTCCCATCACCCCCATCACAGGTGTTTGGCTTCCTGCAGTAAAGCCTGGAGCAGCTGGCGCTCAGAGCCGGAGCATGTGGCCGCAGGTCAGGCATTCAAGGCAGGGCTAAGCTTGAACAGAGCGGCCATTGGATGGGACCGAGAGAGAAAAAAGCAGGCAGAGAGGACAAAGAGCCTGGCACGGATTCTCTATAGCTTTTCCCTCGCTCTGTGCTCTTCTGTTCGTGTTCTCTCTCTAATGAGAGTTGAAGAGCTCTCCCACTTTTAGAGCAGCCAGAGGCCCGTGAATTGAATCAGATGAATGGTAGAAAATAGCTTGTTTTTACACAGCGGGACAGATCTTCTTTCCTCCGTTCTAAACGTGATTGGCACTCAAGGCAGAATAAATTCTGATATGGTTTGTGGGGCAGTTGAGTGAAAGAGAAATGTGAATGCTATTGAATGTCAAGCTTTATGATTGCTTGTAAGTGTTTTGTCATTTTTCCCCTTATTGTGCCCCTTCCCCAGACCATAACAGCGAGTGAGAGAGAGGGGTTTAGCTGAAAGAAGCCTGTCTATCTCTCAGCAGGCCAAAGCTCCCCCCCTCCCGGACCCAACCCACAACTAAACAAGGCCTCCTCTGTCTTCGGCTAGCTTTCACTCGCTCTCCCTCTCTCCACTCATCTATTCATCAGGCCTCTGGAGAACATTCCCCCTTTCACTCAAGCCTTTCTTTTCCGCTTGAAGCAAAATGCCTTTTGGGAGTTTTTTTTTTTTTGCATTCTCAGAGCCTTCTTCTTTCAGTATGAGTGTATTTGTGTGGATTTGTGTGAGTTGAAGTTTTGAGAGAGTTTCTTGTCAGTAGGAATTTTTGGGCATTTTTCCCACATGGCAGGGATGGGAAGTGAAAGCTGACAACAGTACAGCTCCTCGCCGGCATCCCACGGCAAGCACAGGAGTTTGCTGCTACCCTGACGTGTGTTTGAGTGTGCATGTGGAAAATACGGCCACACATGGCGATACTCACTGCCAGGTAAAGCATGGTGTACATGGCGAAAGATGCATGGCCCGAGAAGAAGGACTTTCTGTTTAAGAAGAGCAGAGGGAAATATTACCAACTAAATGTCACAATCCTGCAAATCATTAAACCACAGCACTGTTTTATGGGCCGTTACATTGTCTGCATTATGTTATATTAGGTCATCACAAGCATACATGTTATTCTAAGTAAATACCTCCATAGTTCCATAAAACATACCATGTGATTAAAAAGCATCTAACATTTGCACTTGAAATACTGTAATTCAATCTTAACTAATCACACACATTCCCCCGGGTTTCACTGACAAGGCTTAAAGGGATAGTTCACTTTGAAATTATTTTTTGGTTTGTTTTAGCTTACCTCAAGGGCATCCAAGATGTAGGTGTCTTTGTTTCCGCAGTAGTTTCAATTTTGATATTTTTAGGTCAAACCGTTCTTGTCTGTCAGTCATATAATGAAGGTCTATTGTCACCACCTCAAAGAGTCCAAATTAAACATGTTTTAATGACTCGTAAATGTAAGTACACATTGATGGCCTAAGACACGAAACGAGTGGTTTGTGTGAGAAAATGAACAGTATTTATATCGTTTTTACCTCTTGTAACCACAGTCACGTCCAAGTACTCTGAGGGCGCGGGCGCCTCTGTCTGCGCAAGCGCCGGAAAGCGCCGGAAGTGAACTCTCGCGCGTGTACGTCACTCATTGTTTACACAGAGATTTCGGAAGTGTTACCTTTCACTGTGAAGATCTAAACATATTTAGATATACAGGAAATCGCAATGGAAGACGATTTCGATATATCAACAGACAACGTTGAATTTTTTCCGCAACCGCTCGAGAGATCACTTCCGGCGCTTTCCGCCGCTTGCGCAGACCGAAGCGCCCGCGCCCTCAGATCACTTGGACGTGGCTGTGATTACAAGAGGTAAAAACGATATAAATACTGTTCGTTTAAATCATTAAATCATGTTTAATTTGGACTTCTCTGTGCATGCTCTTTGAGGTGGTGACCATAGACCTGCATTATATGACTGACAGACAAGAACGGTTTGACCTAAAAATATCAAAATTGAAACTGCTGCGGAAACAAAGACACCTACATCTTGGATGCCCTTGAGCTAAGCTAAAACATACCAAAAATTAATTTCAAAGTGAACTATCCCTTTAAGTCTAGTCCCAGACTAAAATGCATGTTTGAGCTGTTTTAACTGAAAGTGACTAGCTCTGACATATCTTAAAATATGTCAGTGCCATTGGTTTGTCTCAAGATGCACACCAGTAATGTTTATATATAAAAGCTACTTAAATCTCCTAATTGAACTAAGGTGTAATCCTGGCTTAATCTAAGCCCTGTCTGTGAAACCAGCGTGTGGTTGCAAGTTAAACACTTTTTTTTAAAATGCCACCACCTACTGCGGTCATCTTTTTTAAATCAGTTACATAAAAACGTAGATTAGCCTAATTTGATACTGAAAAGTAAGACTGACTGCCCTTGACTAACTGCTAGTGGGTCATACTAGAACTTAAGACACTGTCTTAACATAATGGCTATGTTTATGCAACCGGCCAGGCCTATAGATGTTTCAAAATCTAGTGCACCTCCTTTCTAGGCAGCATATAGCTAGTGCTGATCCAAACATCTGAGATATCTTCTTTTGGCCAAATTCTGAAGAACTATTGCATTAATCCTTCACAGAGTAGACAATCCCACAACACATTGCAACAAGCTCTAACCAAGATGGTGGACAAAGTAAGAGACTTGTCGATCAAATCGTTCTAATTTAAAATGAGAAAATATTGAAAATCAATAGCTATGCGTGTGAGGAAGATCCCACAGGAAACAACCTCAGAATGAACAGTGACAAGCTTACAAAGAAGTGCACTTAATTTGATTGGATGTGCACTTATAGTGTACTTAAAAAGTAATTACTTTTAAACAGTACTTCCAGGTAATATAATATTTATGAAATAAAAGGCCACTTACAGTAAGTGTATACACTTTCATGACTACTGTACGTTTCTAAACACATTAGGTACACTTTTAAAAAGTGCACTTTGTAATACTAAAAGTATGACAAACAATTGTTGACAATGTCTACGTGACGGATGTAGAACATCTGGGTTTCATTCATACTACACACAAACATACTGAACACATTTTTAAAGTATGTACTTAAAATAAATACTCATTCAAAAGAAGCAGATACTCAGAGAGTATGCAATATTTTAGCAGCCTAGCTCATCTCATCTCTGTGCCTAACAAAAAAAACACTTGTAGTCCACATACCTGGCCTCCTCCACTATCTTCAGCGTGTTCCTGCATCTGACATCTGAAATGTAGGCTCCAGGTAGGCAGTTGAGTGAAGCATAGGTCACATTGCAGGCCGACAGGAAGTGGGGACGGAGTCGGCCCACACTCAGCTTTGCCATGTTGGTCAAGGATTGCCCTACACAGCAGCCAAACAGGAAGCTGCCCAGCTCCTTGTACAGGCAGGACACGTAGAGGTTTCGCACAAATGCTCGTGAGTGCACACCTCTGAACCGTACCCGGTAACACTCTCCGACAGCAATCTGAGACAGACAGGGGACACCGTTGAGGTTACAGCCATGCCATACAGAGTTAAGATAAGTTCACCGCCAGCCCTAACAGTACCTCACACATATTCACAAAGAGAACCTTGTGTTCAATAGCAAAGTAGATGAAAAGAGTAAATCAATAGCCTTGAGTAACAGGAGAACCGTGGGCTAATACTACTGTGGACATGCAGTCCCTTAAAGGGATAGTTCACCCTAAAATGAAAATTCTGTCATCAGTTACTCACCCTAATGTGGTTTTAAATCCATACGACTTACTTTCTTCAAGGAAACACCAAAGGACAATTTTAATGTACATGCCACCATAGACGTAGCTATCACATATTATATTTCCAAGTCTGTAAGTTGTTATTCACAAAAATTTAATTTCCAACTTAAACTGTCGTAAATCTTGAATGCTTTAGAGCACAGACTTAAGTTTGACACTTGGCAGATTATTGCTGATTTGAAAAAAAGTTTTAAAAAGTGAAAAGAAAAATTTTACGTTTTATTGTCATGAAAAATTACATTTTTATATGAAATATATATTTTCAAAAACATGTTTTACTCTAAAACTGTGAGAAAACCAAAGCCATAAATCTAAACAAGTTGTGTTCAAAATTTGAGCCTGATATCTCAAAAAATGAGCTTTCAGTAAGATTTTGTTTGCCTGAAGTACTATAAGATTCCACTAGATGCAATTCGTCTCCCATTCATTTCCAATTACACTCACCTAAAGGATTATTAGGAACACCATACTAATACTGTGTTTGACCCACTTTTGCCTTCAGAACTGCCTTAATTCTACGTGGCATTGATTCAACAAGGTGCTGAAAGCATTCTTTAGAGATGTTGGTCCATATTGATAGGATAGCATCTCGCAGTTGATGGAGATTTGTGGGATGCACATCCAGGGCACGAAGCTCCCGTTCCACCACATCCCAAAGATGCTCTATTGGGTTGAGATCTGGTGACTGTGGGGGCCATTTTAGTACAGTGAACTCATTGTCTTGTTCAAGAAACCAATTTGAAATGATTCGAGCTTTGTGACATGGTGCATTATCCTACTGGAAGTAGCCATCAGAGGATGGGTACATGGTGGCCATAAAGGGATGGACATGGTCAGAAACAATGCTCAGGTAGGCCGTGGCATTTAAACGATGCCCAATTGGCACTATGGGGCCTAAAGTGTGCCAAGAAAACATCCCCCACACCATTACACCACCACCACCAGCCTGCACAGTGGTAACAAAGGCATGATGGATCCATGTTCTCATTCTGTTTATGCCAAATTCTGACTCTACCATCTGAATGTCTCAACAGAAATCGAGACTCATCAGACCAGGCAACATTTTTCCAGTCTTCAACTGTCTAATTTTGGTGAGCTCTTGCAAATTGTAGCCTCTTTTTCCTATTTGTAGTGGAGATGAGTGGTACCCGGTGGGATCTTCTGCTGTTGTAGCCCATCCGCCTCAAGGTTGTGCATGTTGTGGCTTCACAAATGCTTTGCTGCATACCTCGGTTGTAACGAGTGGTTATTTCAGTCAAAGTTGCTCTTCTATCAGCTTGAATCAGTCAGCCCATTCTCCTCTGACCTCTAGCATCAACAAGGCATTTTCGCCCGCAGGACTGCCGCATACTGGATGTTTTTCCCTTTTCACACCATTCTTTGTAGACCCTAGAAATGGTTGTGCGTGGAAATCCCAGTAACTGAGCAGATTGTGAAATACTCAGACCGGCCCGTCTGGCATCAACAACCATGCCACGCTCAAAATTGCTTAAATCACCTTTCTTTCCCATTCTGACATTCAGTTTGGAGTTCAGGAGATTGTCTTGACCAGGACCACACCCCTAAATGCATTGAAGCAACTGCCATGTGATTGGTTGATTAGATAATTGCATTAATGAGAAATTGAACAGGTGTTCCTAATAATCCTTTAGGTGAGTGTATTTTAAGGGTAAGTAATTTTCGACCGTGAGGAGCACAGGTGTGACTTTTTTTTTTTTCAGGACCGTTAAACCTGTTTTGTGTTCACATAGCAAGTGCCAAAACCTTTACCAAGTTTCGTACCATTCCGAATAAGAAAAACAAAAATTAAATGAATCAGCTGATCAAGTATAAATGATTCGTTCACAAATTGGACTGGTCAGGTTGATGAGTTCGGCTCACCGACTTAAGGCCGTGAGCTGTTAAAAAGTTACAAAAGCAAGCAAGCGTCAAAGTAAAGAAGGAACACAAAGAAGGCTCTTCTCACTTTTCATCTTAATCTCATTTATGATGATATTCGCAGTTTTAGCTCTTCTGGTATACCTTTTTGAATGACGGACAAACACCTGTCATCTGCTGGTATGGAGAGTTATTTCCTTTTACACATACACAAAACGTAATGTGCTAGTTGCCATTGGCTGTAGTCAAAGCTTTCTGAAGTCTTCTGAAGGCACGAGTCGTATTGACCACTTTTAGCATACTTTCATGTTGATTTAGCATCCATTTTGATGCTTAAAAGCCTCTGTTGTCATTCTTTGCAATTCCATGGAAAAGAAAGACTGGTACAACTATTGCAAATCTTTTGTGTTTCTGTGAAGAAAATGCATCCGACATGAGGGTCAAGTCAAGTCACCTTTATTTATTTAGAGCTTTATACAATACAGGTTGTTTCAAAGCAGCTTCACGGTAATAAACAGGAAAATAGAATCAATGATGCAAACTTTATCAAATGTGACACATTCAAATTCGGTTGTAAAGCAGCTCTAGACAATCCTCATTATTCGGCTCAAGTCAGTTCAGTGTAGATTCAGGGTGAGTAAAAAAGACAGAATTTACACCGTTGGGAGAACTATTCCTTTAAGGCCTTTTTTAGCAAGTGATATTTTATATGTGTGTGTTCTCACCGTAAGTCCTGTGATTATGATGCCCCCGGCTATAAGCATGCTATCAGGAATGGCCTCATCTTTAATGTAAGGGTAGGTGATGCTGGGGTCCCCGCAGAAGAAGCCCCTCATGTACGGAGTCACCGCTTTGAGCTCACAGGCGAAGAACGGAATGGAGGCTGTCAGGAGAGAGACAGACGGAGTTAATGTTTCTGTCGAAACTACCTGGAGGAACGTTCTTGTGAGTGTGTCTGTTTCTCTGGCACCACGACATCAGACACAGATACATCTTTCATGCTATATTATGTGCAATTAGAATCACGAGTGAGGCTGAGACATTGAGACCGTCACTGTCTTCCTGATGGGAATGGAGATCCAGCCCAAGGAGCTGACATTCCATGCATAGCTCTGGCAGAAAAAGTGCGGGAGGGGGGTGGGAGCTGAAAGAGAATGACAGCACGGATAGATGAGGCATGTGGAGAAGAAAAGACCCTGAAGAATATGGGATTGAGGTCAGAGACTATGAGGGGGAAGATGGAAAGTTTCTTGTGAGCCTTGCTGGGAATGCGGGAATATGGTTCACTTGGGAGGGCGTAGGGGATTTTCTCTTTCAGGAAAACAAACAAATTCATCGCACACCTGGATGGTTGCAGGCAGGTGTTTTTGACAGACAACTGTAAGAAATAACAAAATAACTGAATAAGTTCTACACACTACTGTAGCTTGTAGAATTCCTTACAGAATCCTTTAAGAATTCCTTATGGGGGTGTGTGGACTTGCTCTATCCCCTTGTTAAATAATTACTAATTTAAAGATTAAACAGTGGGTGGTAACACAGAAAAGTTTTCCAGATAAGTGAACCAGGATGTTGTTTCAACTGGATGTGTGACCTCTCAAGGTATGAATCAGTAGGCAAATAGGTCATTTCAAAGTCACAATCAGTTGTGGCTTGGCAGGAAGTGCATTGGCTCCAACACGTTGCGTAGTTTAATATTTATTTTAAAATTACGTCCCATTCAGATAAGCTGACAAATTATTTTCATGCCATGGCCAATAAGCAATAAATAGCTATTATTCGTTTAGTTTTCTTAGGGACCTGTAGATTGTTTTCTTTGTTCCAAAATAGGGACTTAAACTGTTAAAATGATGCATTTTCCACCTGGTTCGGTTCATTTCCACAAGGCAACATTTCAAAGTGTGTATGCAAGTCACATGTGAGTAAAACTGGTCAGAGTGCACCTGTTTATGTTCTTCGTCCATCAAGATGGATCGACAAGTTTGCTCTGTTAGCTTGAGTTACCTCAAGTTAGCATATACAAATGCTTATAAGCCTTGATTCTCACTCAAACTGATACATTTTATAAGTTAGAGCGGGAATCAAGTCTTTATCGGCAATGCACCTGTTTCGGAGAAGGGCAATTTAAGATGAAGAGGTGTTCTTTGGTTGTCAACTGCGATAAGTAATGTGCTCACTCACAGAATCAGACACTGTTACTTTTTATGTAATGCATTCCCCATAGTGTATTATGATACAGCTTGGTTTGTAGGTCCATTGGGTCAGATTGCTTTCTCACAACAAGAGAACCACTTCAAAGTTTGTAACCTCGTTCAGCCCATCTCAAACTATTTTGAGCAGATCTGTGTTCATACATGCCTAAACGAACCAAACTAAAGGAGAAAACATGCCAGTTTCCACTCCAAACAAGCCAGGTGTGAAAACCCTTAATAAAAGGTATCCTGGAAATCAATAAGGAGTACACAGTACTGATGTGTATATAGGTCTGTACCAGGAGCTGAGTATGAATATAGAAGTGATGAGTGATTCAGCTGTTGTCTCTCTCTCTCTCTCTCTCTCTCTCTCTCTCTCTCTCTCTCTCTCTCTCTCTCTCTCTCTCTCTCTCTCTCTCTCTCTCTCTCTCTCTCTCTCTCTCTCTCTCTCTCTCTCTCTCTCTCTCTCTCTCTCTCTCTCGTTTCCCCCAGGCCCGCACGGTCCCATGCCCTTGATCCACACAGAGCATGAGACTAATCATTAACCCTCCACTCTCTCCCCCAACTGGAACGAACCCAGCCAGTATCACAGACCCTGCCAGGGAATATTTCGGCATACGTGACCGCTCGGCTTCCAGGGCACATGCACATGCTCACACACTGCAGGGGGACCAAAACAGATCCAGAGATGGAAAGAAAGTGCAAAGTAGGTCACCGATGGCTGAAATGTACCAGCAAGTTCACAGATCACGATTGTTCTTCAAGAATATTGTGTTAACTAAGGGCTCCAACGCACTACACTTTACGGTGCATCAAAAAACCCATTGATTTTAACAAATGCAAGGTTTTTTGCAAAATTGACGCATATGATCAACAAGTCATTTTGCTGTTGACTAATGAGAATTTAAGACAGATCTAGTCACTTTCATAAATCAAATTTGCTGTATTCCTGCTTAATTTCAAAATGCTCTTTTAACATTAGTATCAAAACTGCTTCAACTGCTTATTCATTTTTTTTTTTTTTTACTTTTGTCTGCCACATCAGCCACGTGGTTTAACCAACATGCATTATTTTGAATTATATCATAAAGAGACCTTCATGACCTTGCAGGCCATGACTATGTGTCAATTTCAATAAGACTAATAATTTTAACTTTTCATGACAAGGTGTGTTGAGGCTGTGAAATGTGATGTGGTGTGACTCCCCAAAAACTAATGACATTATTTGAAAGCAATAGTTTTTAGCTATATGTACACTGTAGATATAACATTTTAGATGTGTACATTCACATTAATTTGAGGTGTAAGCTAAATTAATTTCCACAATTTTGGACCACATGATAGTTAGCCTAAACCATATGACATAATGAGCCATTCATTTAAAACGTTTAAAATACAAGTTGGTAACACTTTACTTGAAGGGGTGTGCATAAGACTGACAAGACACCTTCATAATCATGACATGACACATGTCATGAATATGAAGGAGGGTTTATCATGTTTATGACAACTGTCATTAAGTGTCATTCGCTCAATTATGACATTTTTAATGTGAATATGACATTGTTTGAGATGTCTTTGTTATGACACCTTGACATAAACCAATACATCATAACCTGTCAGTGTCTTTGTCATGACAACTTGACATATATTATCATCAATTATCAAACTTAAGAAACCACTTAGCTTTATGGGTTAACATCACATTAAACTGTCAGGTGGTTGGTTTTGACATTGGCTGTCATGAGGCCATTATAACATTTTAATGACAAATTCAATTTGTACCACTGTAGTTGAGGTCAAGAAAAATATTGATGACACAGTTATAATGGCCTCATGACAGCCAATGTCAAAACCAACCAAAACCAACCACAATGCCAAACAATGCCAACCAACTGGTTGGTTTTGACATAGGCTGTCATGAGGCCATTATAACTGTGTCATGAATATTTTTCTTGACCTCCACTACAGTGGTTTATGTCAAGTTGTCATAACAAAGACATCTCACTCAAACAATGTCATATTCGCATTAAAAATGTCATAATTGAGCAAATGACACTTAATGACAGTTGTCATAAACATGCATAAAACCTCCTTCATATTCATGACAAGTGTCATGATTATGAAGGTGTCATGTCAGTATTATGCACACCCCTTCAAGTAAAGTGTTACCTAAAAGTTTTTCAAATCCATGAATTAATTGCACATTTCGAAACCAACATGAATGGCAGATGATTTTTAAAAGAGTTGTACAACCAAAACCACCAATCTCATTTCAGTAACTTATTTATCATTAAGGCAACACGTATTAATTAATGTTAATTTAATAAATGGGAAATTGTTTGTTTTTAAATGCCTGTAAATAATCTATATGTTAGGTCCTTTCAGGTTTGCCACATCATTCTGAAAATATATCAGGTTTCAAATAATATATTGAAGTATTTAGGTTGTAAATTGCAGAAGGTATTGCAGTAATGAGAGAAATCAATCAAAATAAAATAAAAATGTGAATTTAAAAATATGTATTATTTCATAGCTTCAAGTAACTGTGCATGACTGTTAATGTGAAAATGGTTACTTTATTTTAAGGTGTCCTTGTTACAGTGTAATAATACTTTTCAGTACTGAGTAATATTATTTAACTTACAGTAGGTTTAGGGTTATGGTTTTGTTTAGGGTAAGTTGCATGTAATTTGCATAATAGTTACTAATTAATATAGTAACTACATGTAACAAGTGTAACAAGGACAGTGTAAAATAAAGTGTTACCATGAAAATGTATTAGCTTTTGTAATGGTATAAATGTTTTCAGGCTGTTGTGGTAATGAGGGTTTTTTTAGGACTGATTTTGGAAAATATGTTCAAAAAGGTATTAAATTGTCAGTAAATGTTTTTAAATGAATCTTCACAAACTCTTAACATCTTGCTATTAATGCCTAAAAAAATGTATTTGTTGATGCCGGCCTTTTTAAAAATGGCTTTATTCCCGCTTGATTTAAACTGTTCTTTTTAGATTAATATCGCTCAAACACTCCATCATAGCCCTAACAAGCACACATACAGACCTGTATATCACGATGAATGCTTATGAACACTCCACTTGAAGACACTGATAAGCACAATCAGAATTTAGGACTAAATTTGGACTGAGTATCGCTGACAGCTGCTTTTCTCACAATAAGTAGAAGCCAAACAAAGATAAGGTAAGACGCAACATCCTGCACTGCTGAATATAGAGGTAAAGAAGACATACTGCTGAAGAGATAGCACCGAGTTCCACGTCAGCACACCCCGATCTGACCCTGATCTCGCTTTCGTTCGCTCTCACCGTAGCGCATGCTTGACATTTCATCCATGCTTTGGACAGGCCTGTACACTGTTACCCTGCAGGGTCCACTTTGGGCCGGCCGCATGTGTTTGTGTGTCACTGAGATGCCTATCATTAGCCCTGGTTACCATGCAGGATACAGATATGAAGGGCTGGCGATCAAGCCCCTATCCAACTGGCTTTTAAATAGACGTCTACAATCCTTACATAATCTATAAGGCAAAATGTTTTACAAGACCAGACTCCCTCAGAGCATTTTCCCTCTCAGATGTATTCATTAAATGGTTATTGGTTACAGGCCACTCTTGAGGTACATCATTTCAATAATCCAGAAATTGGGTTTATTTGCATTTATTTTGTGAT